TGGTTCTTGAGGAGGATGTCAAGGATGGGCTGTGTCTTGTTAGGATTGGCTACAAACACCTGCATGGAGAAAAAGCCACATGAGTCACCTGAGCACTGAAGCACACATCCAGTGCTCGCTTGGGGCAGGTGGCACAGTCAGGGTAATCAGTTTTTGCTTTAGAAGTCCTTATTTTACAATTTGGAGGAAAAAAAAAAATGACATGTCTTAGCACGAACAGGATAGACAAGCTCATTCTGCCAGACCTGAAACACAATGGTTAGTATTAAACACAGATTTTGACTTTAGAATAAAATGCGCAAAAATTATTTCAGGGCACAGGAGGTCAGACTGAATTTTAAGAATAAAAACCTCCATGGAAAACATTAAGAAATGCTCTTACTTTATGATTAAATCTTCTATGCTAAAGATAAACAACACTCCTCTATAAATAAATGCTCTTGTTCCCAAATCCAAATGATCGTTTCTAGTTCTTTCTGTTTAAATATTATACCACATAAATATGAAAATTGTCTGAATTAAGGGCCGGCCCGGTGGCACACTGCGATGGTGCGCCGCTTGGGAGGCGTGGCGGCGCTCTCGCCGAGCGTTCGGATCCCACATACAGACCGGTTCCCGCTCGCTGGCTGAGCGAGGCGCGGGAGCAACACCGAGGGTTGTGATCCCATTGCCGGTCCCGGTCCGGTACGGGGGCGACACTCAGGGTTGCGATCCGTTGCCGGACACGGAAAAGGACAAAAAAAAAAAAAAAAAAAAAATTGTCTGAATTGAATTATATCACTTAGATGAACAAAATAAGGCTAATAATATTTCAGTAATTTGTAAATGAAATAAGATTAACAACTCTGGAAGAAAATATTGTTTATGGTTTTATCCTACCTTAAAAACATGAAAGGCCTCAAACTGGATGTTACGACTTTTGTCTCGTAGAAGATTCATCATTAATTTCAGGTTCTCAGGTTTACTGATATATTTTGTCATTATTGTGAAGTTGTGTCTATCTAACAGTAGTTCACCGAGAAGCTAAAAAGACATTTAAACAAGTACTCTTAAATTAAGATTCAAAGAAAAACCAATGTTTAAAAACAATTCATTTTATAATCATCATTATTAAGCATAGAATATTAGCAGGCACTTAAAAGATTGTTGAACTGAACTATGACCTAAAAGCTATCAAGTGCCTACTCTCTGCCACCTGAACACCCACCTTTCCTTCAGGACGTCAGGTCTATGTAAGTCTGACACAGCTCTCTGAAGAGGACACTCCAGGCACATTTTGCCCGGGATCAGAGCCTGTCAACAGCCTACTCTTTAAGTGTGCATTTTGTATTAACTCACTAAAAAGAAACTATCCAAGAGAGTGGTCACAAGAAAAGTTATAGATAATTCCTGTTAACTAACCACAAACTTTAGCTTAATTTAAAAAAATAACTTCATTATTTTTTTATTTACCTGGACTTTCCAGGATAAAGGGTTTTGTGTCCAAAGTTTTCCATATACTTACCCTTACACCCACCACAGTTATCATTTTATTATATCTGATTCAGAAAGGTTTATAAAAGTGAATATTTTTCTGTTCCTTCTTAAGTAAAGTATCCTAAAGACAATCCAATATTTTCTTACTGACCTCCCCCCCGCCCCCCAATCACTAATGATACCAATTAAGTGAAAAAGCATCTGTTTTTACTTCAGGACTTAATGATTTCTATAGAGTTGATTATACCATATAAGCCCATAATTTTTAAACTGTCACTGCTTATTCTACATTTTTCTTTTTCTGAAACCAGCAGTCATCTCTGCAGGTTGTCAACATGCCAGCCTCTAGCAGAGGTCAAGGGCACAGGCTGTCTACCTGCAGTGGATGGAGGAGGTGCCCAGCTGCATCCCTGTGGGCAGAGGCAGAGCAGCTGAGAGCTCGGCCCTGGTGCCAGCCAGCCTGCCTGGGTTTCAATCCCAACTCTACTCCTTGTGAGCTCTGTGACCTTGAGCCCTTTATTTAACTTCTCTGTGTCTCAGTTTCATCATCTGTGCAATGGGGGTGGATAACTGTGCCTACATCTCATGACAGTGCAGTGAGAAATAAAAGTGTAAACGTGCACAGAGTACAGGTTAGACCTGAGTGTAAAGAGATGCACAGTGAGGTCTGAGGGAGGGAAAACGCATGAACAGAGCTACTGTGCCCTGGTTTAACTGCTTTTGTTGCTTCCCTTCTGGGCTCCCAGCTGTGTTTCAGATACTTGAAGTTTCCAGACAACTCATCTCTAGATAAGTAACTTGTCATAATACTAAACAAAAAAATAATGTGATGTGCAAGAAAATAAATCTGCTCTACATAGAATTTATAGAAAGAACTCAAAAGCTCAGACAACAGTCTTCACATCAATCTGAATCACAAAATCTACAATTTAAGGTGAGAAGCAATTACTATTTACTCTTATGAAGACTCAAAAGTCAGTATTATGTGAAGGTTTACAGCTTTCAAGGTGTTCATTTTCTGTCACAGAAACCAAGGAAAATCTGAAGATACCTCATTTCACTTCAGTTATCTGAAGATGACTCGTAATTCTTTAAGTTTCTTTGGACATAAAAATGAAAAACTTGGAAGTCTTACACGGGAATATAAATTTGCTGGCAACATAAATATAGGAAGAAATAAATGCTAACATGGCTGCAAAAAAGAGAGTACAAATTATAATCTATCTTTAAAGTAGCACTGGTCCTGAAAACTGCTCCATGTGCTCATGAGGTGTTCAACACGGCCTACTGCTAAAATAGATTGTAGGAATGAATGATTTGCTTCACATCCACTCCTAAGGGAGTACAAACGGCAGTCTCTATCTTTTTTCATGTTGGTAACTCTGAATGGCAGAAGAGTCTTGAAAGCCTTTCTCCTTATCCAAGCAGCCCAAGAATCCAAAATTGGATCAAAGTTTATTGCTTTGTCAATAAATTTCTCCCATGTGCAGAGTACTGGCCCTAGATGCTACTATCCTAGGCAGTCCTGTCTGACTTCACCGAGCTGTGCACATTTGTGCAACTGCTGGGGAGACGAAGTGCCACTCTATCACGCTAATGTATGGGAAGGAGAAACTTCTCCAACAGCTGCCAAAGCAGTGTACAACCCCCTGAAGATGAAAGGGTTGCTCTATTAGAATAACAGATGATCAGCTAGCCAGGATACCCGGAGATGGAGAAGAGGGTAAGTTAAGGATCTCCAACAATGATCTAAGAGGATGGCTGGGAGGGTAGGTCCAAGCAATAGCATTTAATGAAAAGCATTGGGCGCTGACTGGATGATTTCAGTAGTGACACATTTCCAAGCTGTGGCTGTTACTGATCCCTGACTGCAGGAGTTGAAGCCTTAAGAGAAAAGAAGGAAGTAGCTGGTCAGATGGAAAGAATCTGATCAGAAATTTGGATTATAGATACAGTGTTCTTATGAAAGGAGTTTTACAGATGCTCCTAATGTCTTTGGAGTGTCTTTCCACAGAAAGACAAGGCTTTCAAGGGAGATTTTTCCATAAGAAGGGGAAGAATTCTGGGCAGAGCAGAATTTAAAATGGACCTGGCAAAAACCAGAAGTGGAATTATGATTTTTTTCCCCTAAATCCTTTGTGATTCCATCTATAGTTCCTGTAAGGACCACTTACTGACAAAATGGGGGATATGTCTTTATTACCTACCACAGAATTTTCTAGAGCAGGGGTCAGCAAACTTTTTATGTAAAGGACAAAATAGTAAATATTTTAGACTTTGCAGGCAATATGGTCTCTGAGGCAACTATTCAAATCTGCTGTTGTAGCCCGAAACAGCCATAGACAACATGTAAATAAATGAGTATGTCTGTGCTCCAATAAAACTTTATTTAAAAAATAGGTAGTTGGCTGGATTTGGCTCATGGGGTATAGTTTGCTAACCCTTGTCCTAGAGTTTAAATCTTGCTTAACATTTTTAAGTTTCAAACGGATTTCCTGTGTTGATACAAAGCAGTCAAACCTGTCAATGGTTCATGACTTCACTCACATGGCTGTCCCCTCCCTCACAGAGCAAGCTAGTGACATTCAGGCAGCATTCCAGGGAGCAAAATACCTGGCAGGCCTTCATCTAGTTGATATGATTCTAATTTTTAAAAATATGCCTCAAAATCTAAACTATTACACTGCTAGGAGATGAAGTCCTCTTAAAATACTCCTTCCTTTTGATATCTCTACTTTACAGGAAGGGGGCAGGGCCCTCCATGGACACTGCTGAACTCTGCTCCTTTCTGCAAAAGATCCTGACCATGATCAAATGTATTTCCCTCAAAGACCTGTGACCTGTATCAGCACGCCTCCCTTTCCCCAAACCCAATACAGGGCAAAGGAAAATAAACTACACAAAATAATCTATCATACCTTGAGTGACTGTCTTTTTGTCACGTAGTTTTCTGAATGAAGTAACTTCTCATATTCACTGAAAAACTAAGAGATAAGAAAACATATATCAGGGTTATTTTTAAAAAGATTGGTAGATAACATTCTAAAGCTCGAGTACAAACTTCTAACCCTATAAAGGCCAATGGCTGCCCAAACTCTCCTGCTGCTGCTATATGTCTCACACTTTCTTCTGATGTGCTCAGACACCACTGGTCCCCTCCATGAAAAGGGCTCCTGGGACCGATCCCCTCCTAGCTCCAGCCAGGCCCATAGGCAGCTCAAATCTACTCCTCTCTGTCACCCTAAACTCCATATGTACAAAACATAATTCCCCCTCTCTCCACAGTTTCCCCTGTTAAGTCAGCTGTCATTTCTCAGTGATAGATTAGAAAATTCATACTTTTTATGAACAAGAACTCAATTCATCCAAAGTGCAACCACAAAGAGAAAAATTACCTGGTCTTTTAATATATAAAACAAGGAGAGAAAATAGTTAGAAACAGAAGTTAAGAGAGGAGAAATTCAGTACTGTATTAAATAGGTACATATCCTAGAGCAGGTAGGACAAGGCTCAAACTTGTAGGATGGAAGGGATTTCATTTAGAAATGGGAAGGAGAAAAAGATATTCTTGGGGAATCAAAAAGGAGGGCACAGCATACGTGAAGACCTGGAGATGCAAAATGCCGCAGATTTAAGAACTGTCAGGTGTCCCCTAGACCTTTACTAACAAAAAGAGCATCACTGGAATGAATGGTAAGGGGCAGAAGCCGATTCAAGCAGGGAAGTAGAAAATGGAAATGACGGACACACGGGGCCAAGGCGATCCTTCCAAAACTTGGTAGAAGAGGCCAGTTAGTTTCAAGATTTTATATGTATCTTTTGTTTGTTTAATCTATGGATAGGTAAAACATTCCAAAATTTTGCAGAATTGGCATGACTCAGTTGGATATTGGTGCTTTACTGAGACTACTTATTGGGTGCTGTGGGTGCTGGAGGATGCCTGCTTTGTCATTTGTCCATGTGAAAACTTGTCCATATTTATAAATATGCCTGTGTGTTGTGATGGATCCTCATTAGCCATTTGTGAGTGGTTTAGAGAAGGGGTTGGTAGACTAAGGCCCACAGGCCAAACCCAGCCTGCTGCCTGGTTTTATAAAGTTTTATTAGAACACAGCCATGCTCACTTTTTACTGTAAATAAATTTCTTTAAATACTTATGTACTGTTTATGGCTACTTTTGACAGGAGTGTCAACAGAGACCATATAGCCCTCAAAGCTTCAAATATTTACTATCTGGCCCTCTTGGTTTAGAGCCACCCAGAACTGCCTATACATTATTTCTTTTGTTTACCTCTGGGCAGAGGTGGGATGCTCATCTATTAAGTATGCAAGTAAGTTAGAGTTCTCTTTTCAGAATAGGCCATAAACCCTACCTCCTCCTCAAATGATTATCAAATGATGACCAAAACAATTGAATCCACTTTTCATCAGTAACACAAAATATGTACACCTCAAGGTCATGACAGAAAATGCAAGTTAAGATTTTCTGCTGCGTAATTCCTAGGATATGTTTGCTTGCAAGAAAGTTTTCATGGGGAAATGCCTTAAGAGTATGTATGTAGTCCATATTTCCTCCAGATACATGAGCTTTTCTCTCTGGATTAGGACAGAGGACAAGTAGCACACCTGGACATCTCCCCACCCACATTTGGGGTCCTCAGCAACTTGCTTTCAGGGAACTGTACTTCAGCTGAGCATTTTATTTACTGTAGTGTCACCTGCAAGGACTATGTCCACTACATGACACTGTAATCTGACTCCTCTTTGGAATGCCAATGGGAGCAATTTATTTCAGGTCCCAGTGCTAGAAAAAGCTATGTTTCTTTTGAGCAACCAGCATACATTTTACATTACAAATATTATGATCAATTTTGTGTCTCTCTATGCTTTGGTTACTAGAAATCTCACAGCCAAAATGTACAGAATTTTAAAGCATACATTTTTGTGTAATAACCTCACCTCTGACTTTATTTAAACCCCCATACTCCCCACTTTCCTTCTCCTTCCCTCAAGTCTGATTGCACTGTATATACATTTCTGTTAGTTGCCTTACACGCATCTTCTTAAAATTCTTTTAACTGATGTCATCCACTAAGAACATGTAGGAAACTATTTTACTTCAAAATTGAACAGATTTCACTGCCTGTAATACGTTTCTTAAAAATTAACTAGTCTGTATTTTTGGCAGGCTTTAAATTAAGATAGTAATATGCTAAAAAGTCTTTGAGACCATGTGGCAATAACAATAAAACAGCTAACGTTTATTAAATGCTTACTATGTTCCAGGCACCATGCCACACACTTCACATACACATTCTTATCTAATCCTCACAATGACCCCAGTAGGCAGGTACTATCATGAGCCTTCTTTTAGGTCTGAAGATCTTGAAGGCACAGAGGGTGAATGAAGGAAGCTGCCTAAGGTCTTATTAGCACATGGGAAGGCTGGGACTTGAAGCTGGACTAGAAGCCAAACTCGAGCAGTCTGATGCTAAAGCCCATGTTTTTAACTACTGTAGAAAAGTCCCTGATGAAAGGACAGTGCTGCCATTTTAAGCCAAGAAACATACAAAAAGAAACAAACCCACATCCAAATAACTATGGGCAGAGATAAAAACAAAGGCCCAGCAATGTTTAAGCCATTTATGAGGCTATTTATGAGAGACTTAGTATAAACTCAGAATTGTGTTCTGATGTTACTGGGAGTGAGGGAGAAGACAAGGAAAAGAACACAAAAGAAAGAGAAAGCATAGATTTTGCCTCTAAGAATCTTACAATTTAGTTGAGCAACAAAGTGAGCAATGAAGTACTTAGGATTTCAAAATTCAAATGACCAGTAGGAGAATTAAAACGTAAGCCAAATTATATGGGATAGATAGGAATTCTAAGTGGTCTGTTATTATTCCAACTTTTCTAAGAGCACTTAGAAGGTGTTGGACAATGTGTACTTAGACTACTATGGCACGAGAAAGCACCGCTGAGGAAAGCGGGCCTGCCACATAGAGGTGAGGGTCAAGGGAAATCGGTTCTCAAAGCACTCTGAGAACCATTAACATTTGCCTGGGGGACACTAGTACCAGGAACGTCTGACCCTGAGTCAGAGCTGAGAGGGACTTTACTAACGGGCTTGCCTAGTGTCCTCATTGTACAAATAAGGCCTCAGCCATGGCCACAAGAGAGTCAGCAGCAGAGCAGCAGCAGAGGCTCCCGTCCTACCCATGCTGCCTCCCGTCCTCTCTACGGGAATGAGGAGGAATGTGTGGCAGCTGATGGAAAAGGAAGAAAAAGCTTAAAAGCCACACAATAACTTCTCTTATCTTAACTGTATTATCATCTAGCAGCAAAATGCTCAATTTTCCTCTTCTAAAGTAAGAAAGATGCAAAGGGCAGTGTGTCAATCAAAAAGATGAAATTCTGCTTCTGACCAAGTAACACTCTATATGTTATTTCAGTAGAGAAATGATTATATCACCATTAAAAAACATTATATATATAAATAAATACTCTGATACAAAATCCTAATTTAAACCTTTCATTTCTAGCAACAGAAGTTATAATTTGTTATTTAAAAATAACATTTCATATACTTACTCTATCATAATGCTGTTCCAAAAATTCTGCACTGAGCAATTTATGTCTTGTAAGTAAGTCCTAGAAAAAGAAAAAAAAAATTTTTAATAGTTGTTCTCCATTCCATTCTAGCTCTTTCAGAAGAGAATCCTAAAATACTCCACGCCATTTTACCTGATAGAAACTGCTGTTAAAAATTACTGTACTTAACATTTGAGTAATTGTATTGAAAATGTTGACTCTATGCAAGAACAAATAAAATCATTGATAATTGAAGTTGCAATTTTAATAATTATGATTAGTCATGGATCTATAGCTTTTAGAAGGAAAAGTTAAAAAACAAACATATAAAGCAATGGAAATATAAACTGAAAGAAAAGGAATAAAGAATTAAGGTAAAATAAAAGTTAACAGTTGGATAAAATGTCAAATAGAATGTTCTGCCCATTTAGTGCTCCTTGGAAAGAGAGAGGAAATTTCTTTTATTAGAAAAAATATTGGAGGTTCTATATTCTTCCTCCTAAATTCAGTTACATTCAGATTCATATGTAATGCAACCTGTTTTCAGAGATAGAGTGCTTTTTAAAAGCCCCATTATATTATAAACATTAGCTCCTAAGTAAGCAGAATAATGTTGCAAAAATGTAGAAGTAATAATTAGTTTGACCCATAGTCCAATTTTGTATTACTATGAAATAGAGCTTATGCCTCACCCCATAGCTTTCCTAGGAAACAACTCAAGAATCATTCATTCAGGAATGTCTACTATGTGGCAGGTGAAGTTTAGGTGCTGGGGCTTCAAAGACAAAAAGATATGGTCCCTGCCTTCAAGGACCTAGAAGTTAGCAACGGACTAGCCTTGGTCTCCCCAGGTGGAAAGGAGAATGGGAACATGTGGCAGCAGGAATGCCCAGTCGATACGGGGTGAATTAATCAATCAAGTTCCTTCAGCACCACCTACCAGAGAGGTTAGTGCCAATAATCCCTTTTCTCTGAACCAACATTCCTTAACTTGTTTTCCTTCCTGTTTATGTACAAAGATTGCCTGGGTTATGATGAATTAGTGTTTCCTGAAGTATGCTGAAGTGTAATTCTGGTCCTAAGAACTACTCTAAGAATGCTCCATGGTCAAACAAATATGGAAAGTGCTACAGCTCAAGTTCCCTTGTGGAGATCCATCAGGTCTGAGAGATTCTGCAGGGAGCGCCTTTGTTCTCTGCGTTCTGTTATCAACCTTCCCCACAAGGCCTCTGCACAGGCTTTCCCCTCTTCCTAGTTACCCACTACTCATCCTTCGGACCTCAAACATCACCTCTGCTGGGAACACTTCCTGACTGGTCACCAGCATAAAAGCACTGGTCACAGTTGCAACTTTACATACGTTTGTAGGATTATTTAATTAAAGTCTCTCTTGTACTAGACTGAATTTATTTATTCCATAAACACAAGGGCCATATCTGTGTTTACTAAGCCTTGACTCCCTAGCACCCGTGCAGTGCCAGCACATAGTAAGAGCTTGCTATTTAATAACATCAGTGAAAGAACCAACAAAATCAGGGAAGATATCCGGAAAAACAACACATTAAGCAATCTTCAAATTATGCTTTTTACCACACCCCAAAGACTTAAGAGTTGTTCAAACTGCTGGATAGGATATGTATCATATTTCCTGATTATAACAGGGATGCCCAGGAAGGACCCACCCAACTTTTCCCAAATCCTCTCTGATGATTAAACAGGCAAAGTTAGAGAACTTGGAGTTTATTTTGAGTACCCTCAAGAATTTGGAAAGAAGTGCTATAAGGTTTCCCCTCATGGGGAAGGAGGAGATGAAGCGGCAGGAGAATTTGTATTATCTTAGTACACTGGTCCATGGCATCAGATAAAAAGGGGAGAGGAGCATGAGGACCTTAAGGGGATTGTGTTAAGCACAGAAGGCATCTAATGCACGCCTGCTAAAGAGCACTTGCTACCTGATAACGTGGTGAGTGGTTTGTTTATGGTTGGTGTCCCCTGTGTAGGTGCCACAAGGGCAGGGCCAGGGCATGTCTGTCCAGTTTGCTACTGAATCCCCAGCACCTAAAGAACAGTGCCTGGCACAGGGCAGGCACTCAGAGACTTGGTCAATGAACAAATGAAATCAGTGAATTAAGGGACTAATGTGTCACAATCCATGTAAGACTGAGTGTCACTTCTACTTTTTTGTGGCTAAATTGTCTGGAGGCCAGCATGAGGAAGTACAATGAAAGGGACCCATTGCTCACTGTTCTGGCATAATCTGAGGGAAGAAAATGCCAAGGGAGCGGGGTCTTGAGAGACAGTGGCTCTCAACTGGAGGCAGACTCTTAGGAACAGGTAGGTAGAAAGTGTCTGCTCTATAAAGCAAACGTCCTCTAGGTGTAAACACGTTGCACAACAGATTTTTACTGAAGGTTTGAGTAAAGCAACTATTCACTCTGAAGGATATATCTCAAACAGGAGCAAGAGGCTCATAGTTGGGCCACACACAAAAAGGGGGACCTCCGACATCTCCCCATCTGGGGGAGATTCTATTTGTAATCATCTGGAAACTCAGGAAGCTGTTGCCAATCTAGGAATCAAATCTCAATGGCCCTGGGGTAGGATAGATTTAAAAGGGGTGCTCTGAGATTGTTAAGGGAAGAGTTGGACCCCAATGCTTAACAGGACAAAAGCCCTAGTGGGTAGGGGGCTGGGGGAGTAAAACATCTGTAGGAAAGGAGCAAACTGCTCAGGGCCGGCATGGAGAAAAGGGTAGTGCTAAGCTGGGAAAAGGAGGAGATAGGGACCTGGGCAGTGCCTCTATCTACTCAGAGATGAGAAGAACCTTAGTTTAGCAACTATAGCTAACAGCTTTGGAAAGCTCAAAACAGGGTGTGGGCTGGACGCCAACAGAACAGAAAACGATGGGCAAAGGTCATGCAGTCAGTATCTGGTCAGCAAGCCGCAAAGTTTACAGAGTACATGTGATCACACACCAGCAGAGTCAGTCAGCAGAAGGGAGAAGAAAAGGATTTCTGACCTCCCACCTGTCTGCATTCCAGTATATCCAAGGCCCTGGTATAACTTGGAGAAAGGCTAAGTATCATCGTCCAAGTCCAGCAGATTGAGCAGCCAACATTTAGGGTAGGCTGAAATACAAAGCTTCTTAAATGTTTGAGTTTGGGCCCCAAACACCATGTGACTAAGACAGCCCTGGGATCCCTGAAGAAATACTGCTAACCCAGGGGCTTATTTTCACAGAGCCTTGGCAAGTCATTGGCCCTATTTCCATATAATGCCTTAAGTATGTCCAAGGACAAGGAACTTAATTCTTCCAACTGTGTAGTTCACCTTTGGAGCTCTAATAGTTAGAAAGTTCTTCTTGTGCTAGAGCAAATCCTATCTCCAAGTTATTTCCAGGAACTGTCAGAGCCAACAGAAATATGTGTAATCCATTTTCTATAGGACCCCACTTCAAATATAAGTAGTGTTCTCATGGCAAGTCCCTACCGAGTCTTCTCTTCTCCAGGCTAAATACGTCCAGTTCCTTTAACCACACTCCTCGAATGACAGGTTTCTGAGTCCCCCTCACCATCTACTGTCTTCTGAAAGTCATCTATTTGTCTATGTGCCTCTTAAAGTGTAGTGCCTGGAATGGAACACATTTATGTGTTGTTACCTTATGAGCTTATAGTGGAGTGAGACCATCAATTGCTCCTTAGGTTACTTGCTATGTGGTCACATGGAGCTCTGGGGACAGCAGCATCATACTGTTTAATTTTACTGGACGTATGCAGGATTTTGTTTACTCAGGGTGGGCTCTGAAGTCAGCCTGCCTGGGTTCAAATTCTGGCTTCCCCATTTATTGTCTGACTTCACTCAACATCTCTAGGCTTCAGTTTCCTCACCTGTAATGGAGATAATAACAATACCTCCTTCATAGGGTTGTCTGAGTAGGATATGAAATTACCTACATTCTAGTTAACTATTACACTTAGTAATTATCTCATTTAGTATTGACTGTTATTATCCCTTATTCCCCATCCCATATTTATAAGTTGGGTCTATAAATGGAAGACCTCAGTTAGGTGTGTTTAGTTTCATTCTGTTATATTCTGGCCTCTTTGAATTTATGAATTTTAGAATCCACTTTATCTGCTATCTTTCCCTTCATGGCTAGCATCTATACATTTGATAAGTATCCTTGTCACCCTTTATTTCTGTCAATAAAAATGTTCAGCTGGGCTGGGTGGGGAAACCCCAGTGGAGATCCACTAGAAATTTCTTTTCAGGGTGATGGCAATTCAATTAGTTGTGAATTGCTATACTGAAACTCCATCTAACTCAGCCTTTTTTATTGTTCTATGAGAACAGATTCATAGAATTATTCAACATATAGAATATCCTCATTGCCATGAAGGAATAATTCTAATTGCTAATGTTTACTGCACACAGGTTGTATGGGGCACAATAATCCTGACATACTTACATTATCACCCACATTTTAAGATAAAGATATGGAGTTTAAATCAGCAACAGAACTGGTTTGAACTCAGGCAGCCACACCCTCAACCCCCTGATCTACTGGCATCTATGAGATTAGCATGACTGAACTTACTCTTAGTGAATCCTCACTGGCTGTGGGTACACACTTTCCCTTCAAAAATCCTCAGAAATCATCTCTTTAGAAATACTTTCTAGAACCTTTTTTTTTTTAAAGATGACCGGTAAGGGGATCTTAACCCTTGGCTTGGTGTTGTCAGCACCATGCTCAGCCAGTGAGCAAACTGGCCATTCCGATATGGGATCCGAACCCGTGGCCTTGGTGTTATCAGCACCGCACTCTCCCGAGTGAGCCACGGGCCGGCCCACTTTCTAGAACCTTACACAGGTATAATATCAAGCTCCAAGCTCTACCAGCCCCTCAGGGGAATCTACCTTCTTTTATTCTGGAAAACTGGAATATATTTGTTGGCCTTCTGATGCCCTTCCCCATTTCCTTAATTCCTCAAACAAAACAAAACAAAACAAAAAAACACTAACAAATATTTGGCCATCTGGTTAATATCTCAGTATAATATCTCAGTATCCACTCATTCAAACTAAGACTCTTAGACACATTTAGAGCAGGTAGTTTTAATTTCCTTTTAAGACTCAGCACCTATTCCAGGGGCTGTAAATCCAAGGTAGTGGACAAGCTGCTTTTGTTTGAAATTTTGTGTGTGTAGAATACATTTTCTGGGGAGGAAGTTTTTGTCAGTTTTCAAAGGAAAGGATGAACCACACATCTATTCTTCTTTCCTATGATAAAATACCCTCTGCAAAGAGGACACCAGCAAGGCAGGAGAGGAGCAGCTCTCCTTTCCTCCTTGAAAGCATTGTAGGTGTGGAGCTTTGCAGCCTGTCTTTGCTGTCTTCCTCCCTGCTCTGACTGGAGTTTCCTTTAGGGAGGAGTGGGGAGGTAGCTTTGTTCTGTTTGGTAGTTTAGCCCTGAGATTACACTGGTAGGTGTGGGCCTCTCTTTTGGACATGGGCTCTGCAGCTTTTTGTTTTGTGGAGAACTCTCTGTTCTCTTTAAAGAACCTCTAATTAACTTCCCTTTTTGTGTAATCAGGAACACCTGAGATCCAAGCCAGCTCCTCGATGCTCTTTCTCCTAGATCTCAGCCTCAGAATCCTATGTTGGTTTTGAAGTTTCCCTTCTTCAAGTAGAGACTACCTAGCCTGGCTCTGCCCAGTCTTTTCCTCTCTGGCTACCATGACCTGACAGGCTGCTTTACTGACAGTAATTCCATCACCACTATTTTCTCCTTGGTGAGAATTACGTGAAAGCAGCAACCCTGGCTGAGATGAAACGACTGGCGAGGCCAATCAAGACTTTGTCAGATACTGAGCATCTCACTTCCGACATGTAGGCAGCACTTCTCACACCTGTGGGCCAATTTTGCCATCTGGGCCAGGAGTACATCCTCCATGTGGCCAGGAGTCTGGCTGCATCCTCCCATACCACTGCTGCTTCTCAGTCCTCTTCCCTCACCCTCATGCGCCCAGAGTGTCACCACTCTTCGTCTCCTGGCTATCTTTCCACACAGGGGACTCTCTCCTTGACACATGGTGCTACTATACCTCCCTTCATGGCTGATGGGTCTCTGCTTCTGAATGGGGCACATCCTTCCATTGATGTACCCTAATCAAGAGTCCTATCCCACCAACTGCAGTGATACCTGAGATATCATAGTAACCATTCTGTGTTATAATCTCAAATTTTTTTCATTTTGCTTTGTACACTGACATACAAATATCTGAGGTCTTACCTAAGGCTTCTGATACCCTCTTTAATGGTTTTTGGGAAAAAAATCCCTGGGTACCTCTCACACTATGACCTTATTCTCATTTGATATGAAATCCTAATGACCAGGTCCCCAGGCTTTCATCCTATATTCATTCGCTGTGAAGTGCATATTTTACCCAGAGATCAGGGTGTGTGCTCATTACCTCCTGGGCTCTTCATAATCATGAAACTGAACTTTCACAAGAAAAGTGACCACTTCTTACTATAACAGCATTCATGGTTTCTGAGCACAGTAGGATACATGTAAGTATGCTAAATACTGGTTATATTAAAATAGTTCTAAACATTTATTTATAAGGTCAGACATTTTACATAAGGGAACGTAAAATAAAAAGGCTTACTCTCATTGTGAATAAAACTAAAAGATTACTGTTTTATTTAGATACCTTCAATAGAACAGAACCTTGCAACTCAAAACAAAAGTATGCAGTTGTACAGTGGAGTCAAGGTAGCTGGGGGGTGTGGTGGGGGGATTCATAATAATTTGAATGGTGCAAGTGATTCTGTCCTCCCCCTGCCTTTACGAGACATGCTCTGGAGTGAGCAGGAAATGGGAGGTGAGTCCATGTTCCCTGGGGCCTATCCACAATGTGGATATCTCTGTCCTGAATGTGGTTCTAGTACTTAATGACATATTTATTCCAAATTAACATGGCCCCTGAACAGAAGCCAACTACTTCACTTGGTGCGTAACCAAAGAAACTGCAACAGAATGTTCCAACACAGGAGAAAACCTGATTGTCAGATGTACTGTATATCTGCATACTGTACTTAATGTGTTATTTAACAAAAAAGGGTAATTTTGACCACACAGGACTTTTGTCTTTTAAATAGACTTCAGAAGTTAACTTTCCCACCCTTTTAAAGCTGTGACTCTACTGCATATACCGGTCACACATACACATATAAAATATATCCTCTTTCTTCCCACTAGAGGGCACCTGTGCGTAGACTAGGAGGGCAGAGGTGGTTAAGGAAAAGTAGCGCGTTTGTTAATCTGACTTGCAAATATGTTTAGAATTCTAGTTTTTTATGTTACCTTGAATGTGGCAAATGCATCTGAAGCTATGTCAAATGTTGACATTTCGACATATCTGAAGAAATCATAAAACTGTTCCGACCACAAAATGATTTTTGCAAGTGGTTCATGTCTGATGCATTCTCTTAACATTATTCCACAATTTAGAGCTATTTCTGGAGATTCATACCCTTTCAATAACATGAACAAAATATTCTGTTGGGTGCAGATGTATTCAACAGTAGGAGTTCTTGTACCAATTTGTCTTCTGAGAATATTGTTGAATATTTGAGCCACGTCTTTTTTGCCCTCAAAGTCAATGAGCTGTAGGTCAGCTACCAGAGTGCCAAGGAGCCCACTATTATATAGTTCTTGAGCAAGCTGAGCCACTGCTTCTGTCTGTGGCTCCTTCTCATTTGTGCCATACAGAATTTCTTTCATGGCAACCAAATTTTTGGATACTTCTTCTGTAGCCTGCAAAAACAAAACAAACAAAAAACCCAAACATGATTGCTCTTTTAAAACTCCAACACTGAGTAGTTAAAACTTTTAGAACAGGAAGTTTCAGACGTGTCCTAACTAAGTGACCACAGAAGGTTACAAAAGGCATTACTCTAGGAGTACAACATGTGCTCAGGTCAATTTACTCTAGAGTATACATACACATTGGTTGGTGACGACTGCCTTCAACCAAAGAAAAATAGCCACAAGAGTGAGTGTGTGGATAAAATTCATTATTTAAGTTAAAAGACTTGAAGAGAACCACTGAGGGTCACGCACTCCACAAAGGGGTTAGCTTTTACATATGGCACACTCAACGCTCAGGAACATAAAAAGATAAATAAAAAAAACAAGATAAAACAAATATTTTTCCAAATTCAGTAACTCAGTATCTAAATAGGTCTATCATACTTCGCTGTTTCAATTCAGGGCTCAAAAAAGTACTTTAAGACTGTTGGCAACATGTAAACATTTCATTAAAGTTGAAAGCCTAGTCCTGAGGATTTCACGAAGTGCCTCCCTCCACCAGGGAGAGCATGAAGGCCACTGAGCACATGCGCACAGCGGACACAGGGACTCCACGGCCTCCATCAGCTCTGCACACACAACCTTCCTCTATACTCCTCTTGGCCCTCTTACCTCTTCCTTTCTTGCAATCAGAAAAAAACTGCTCAGCCAGGCAAGAGGCCCTCTCCCTTGTGATGTGCACCACGCCCTTTTCTTGACTGGACTCTGCCACCCTGCTCAAACACATTGCTCTTTTCTTCTACTTTCTTTCAAGCTGCACGTTGGCTTAATTTCTTTCCCACTCACAATCTCCTCTACTTTCTTGCAGTCAAATTCCATTTCCCAACACAACACTCTAGTGAAATGACTAACTGGCCAGCAAAGACCTCCTCTTGGCTAAAATAAGCGATTATTTCTCATAACAGATTCTTCTACTTAGCATCTTGACAGTGCTCATTAAAGAAAGAAAGAAAGAAAGAAAGAAAGGAAGGAAGGGAAGGGAAGGAGGGAGGGAGGGAGGAAGGAAGGATGGACGAACTTGCCAGTTTTCCTTTTTATCCTCTCTGACTGTTCCTATTTCTTGCCTGGCTGAGGTATTTACCTGTTGCCTCTAATCTAGTAATAAAAGCCCATAAAATCTCATGGCTCCCACCATGTCTACTAAATTCCCCACCCCACCATTGTCTCCTCCTGAATTATAGTATTTTCTGTTGCCTCTGGACAACTTCAGTTAAAGGTCTACCAAAGACTCAACATGTCTAAAATCAATCAAATCTCCTCCAACAAAATAACCCCCCAATTCCCTCTCTTCCTCATTTCTATAATTTGGCATCATTATTTTATCTCAGATACCCAGGACTAAACCAGATCTAACAGAACTTTCTGTGATGGTGGAAGTGTTCTATATCTGGGCTTGCTGGTTGGCTCAGTTGGTTAGAGCATGGTATTGATAATACTAAGGTCAAGGTTCGGATCCCCTTACCTGCCGGCTGCCAAAAAAAAAAAAAAGTAATGTTCTATATCTGCCATGCTATCCATTATGGTAACTACTAGCCACATATGCTTACTAAGCACTTGAAATTTGGCTACCATGACTGATAAATTCAATTTTAAATGTTATTTAAGTTGATTTAAAATCAATTACATGTGGTTTGCAGCTACTATATTGGACAGCACAGTCCTAAACCTTTCTGACTTCATTCCAAATCTTCCCATCTTTAGTGTCACCAGGCCTCTTAAATACTATTTTGAAATATCTTAGTTTCATTTCCTTTTATTCATTCCCACTGCCACATTAACTCACAGCTAGAGAACTGCACATGCCTCCTAACCAGATTCTTTGTTCAAGCTTTTTACTAACAAATCTTTCCACATAAAACTCTATCAACAGCATTTCTAGCTTAGAAGCTTAAAATTATTTCTTCTTACTAATCAAATAAAGCCAAACTTTTGGGCTTAATGTCCAGTCTTCCCCTCAGCAGATCCCCTTCCTTTGGCACATCACCATCTCCCACCCTGCCATAAAACTTCCAGATTATCTCCTCATCGTTGCCAGTCACTCTGTGTTCATTCCTGCCCCTGACCTTTGCTCCCAGTGATATACCACTAAGATGCTTTCTGTCTTTCTTCTGCCTCTGCAAATTCTAAACCATCTGAAACTTCAATCTTAAGTTCCATGGCTTTTACCAACCCTTGTTTTATTAACTGAAACCACATTTTATCCCTGAAATCCTGTAGTACTAATTTGTTATCTAGTAGTATTACCCTTTTGTTGTACATATATTTATTGTAGATCCTCAACAAGATCAAAACTATATTCCTTTGTGTCAGTTAAAGCATGGCAGCCTGAACGCTGACTGGCTTTTATTTAATTAAAACCTCTGCTCACTAAATGGCTGACTGTATACTTCATCTTTGCTGATCTTTAATAGGCAGGAGACTAAAAGGACAAGGGTAAGACAGTTTGGTACAACAAGTTGGGCAGGTTTTGTTGGAGTTTTGTTAAGCTTGTCTAAATGATTAAATCATAAACCAATGAGTACAAGGCAAACAGTTATGCTGTACAACCTGTTAGCACTAGAGTGGAGAGCACATTAACATTTAAATTGCCAGTAAAAACAAAAACAAAAAAACCACTATTGCTTCCAAATGCTGTCTAACACCAGCAATAAGATTTCAAATTCACACTAAAATTAGCAGCATAACCCCCCAAAATATCTAACATCAAAGTACTTATAGCCTAAGAAGATGATCACATTATACGTAAGTAGTCTAAATTAATTAATCAACAAAAGTACAAAAATCTTAAAACGTAGTTCACAGGGCTCCTTGAAGAAATGGCTCTTTCTGGATCTGGCAGGAACCATACAATAAAAGCAAGGTGGGTCATCATGTGCCAAAAAGCAAGGAAGCTATCACAGACTAATGGGGTCTTGTCATAAGGAGCCAACCTAAAGGAGCCCCCAATGGCCTAAGATAGGGCAATTTGGACATAAGAAAGTAATGACTGGAACGGGTTGGGAAAGATCAAACATACTTTTTAAAAAAGCAAAAACTTGAGCTTATAAGGATGCTTAAAACAACAAAAACTCAATACTAATCTAAGGAAGTAGCCAGGGAAGCAACTGATTATGCTGAAAAAATGATACCTGTCTTTCCTATACAGATTATATTTTGGGATAACTAAATCATCCATGAGGAAAGGTTCTTCTTTATAAAATAAACACATTTAATTATATGGAGAAGGAATAACAGAATCAGAAAATTACCATTTTGAATCTAGGCAATAATCCCTAGTGGATACTAAAACCACTAGGTGAAAGCTGGATGGAGAATTTTTTTTTTTCCTTTTTGTCTTTTTTCGTGACCGGCAACGGATCGCAACCCTCAGTGTCGCGCCCGGACCGGACCGGGACCGGCCACGGGATCGCAACCCTCAGTGTTGCTCCCGCACCTCGCTCAGCCAGTGAGCAGCCGGTCTGTATGTGGGATCCGAACCCTTGGCGGGAGCGCCGCCATGCTTCCCAAGTGGCGCACTGTAGCAGTGCGCCACCGGGCCGGCCCGTTGATGGAGAATTTTACAAGTATAATGAACAGATTAGAGACTGACAACACCTGTATCTGGTCAATCTAAACATCACCAGAAGTGGTACAACCAGTGCTACCCAACAGCAAGTACTCAGCACCACCCAAGAATTGCTGCCCGCCTCTAAGTGAATCTGAATCTAAGCAAATCTCCAGATCTAATTGCCAATTTAAAGGAATGGGGGGGAAGTGGAACATGTTAAGTGATACCACAGGAATGCAAATCCAAAATGTGTAATTTTTCTACAAAACAAATGACCCAGTTGCTTTGACAAATATGAGGGTACCTCAAAAAGTTTGTGGAAAAACAGAATTAAAAGATGATATATATCTTTCTGTGAACTTCCTCCCCACACCCATTTTATTTATATTTATATTTATTTTTGTGGGGTACAGTGTGTTGCTTCAGTACATATACTTATTGCACAATGATTCACGTGGGGTAGATAGCACAGCTTTTTCTGTGAACTTTTTGAAGTACCCTCATAAATGTGATAAATTAAGAAAAAAAAAGGCATTAACTATTATAGATTAAAAGAGAGCTAAGAGTCATATCAACCAAATTCAGTTTGTGGTCCTTGTTTGAAACCCGATTTAAACAAACCAAGTGTAAAATGCCATTTTTGTGAAAACCAAGGAAATCTGAAACTTGGACATTAGATGTTAGACTTGTAAATGGTATTGTGACTTTGTTATACTGTGCTATATGCATACTGTGTTATGTATGTTATACTATGTTATGTACTAGCGATGCATAATGAAGTGATGTTATGTGTGAAGAGTACTAAAGGAACAAGGAATAGAGGAACAAGAATGACAGAATGTTAGCAACTGCTGAAGCTATGGATAGGAAAGAGATTGTTACATCACTCCCTCCAGTTGTACATATATTTCCCACAACAAGGGTGGGGTCCAGTTCTGGTGGATCCAGCATCAGCTGCATTCTCCATGCTTCTCTTCTCCTCCCTGGGTGAGGTTTCTTCTCTGGCTGGCTCAGATGAGAGTTTTAAACTTTAAACTGTATCTCAAAAGTCTTTCTTTACACAACATTTAAAAATGTTCACATCATACACCTGGCTAAAGTAAAAGTACAAGCAGAATTAACTAATTTACGGAGTTTAATAACCATTGGTTTCTATGGAAAAAGAAACATTGGCTTTAAAAACACACAAAGGCATCTGGAAGCTGCTCTAAGAACACCAAAATTTCAGGCAACTCACTACATGTTTACACACAAAACTTGGATGGAAACAACAAAAAATTAGATGCCAAAAGTTCTGTATGGCAACATCTGAAGAAGCAACATGGATGGTTAGAAATAGAAAGAAGGAAACAGAATGCTGGCATGCAACATGTGCACTGACTCATGCTTTGTCTAAACAAGTTTGAACTTGGGAGAAGTGTTAAACCACAGAGATATGAATCAGAATGAGGCAAGCTATAAAGCGAGGGGTAGGAGAGCAAGCTGATTCATGCCAACAGTCATGCCAGTAACTCGCTTGCCCACCAGTTTAATAGAACACCACCAGTGCTGGGACAAACAGATGCACACTATACCCAGACAACACTGGCAAACAACTCTGGTGTGAAACAACAGGAGGTTACCCTTGCCAGTCAGGAAGACTCAGTGATAAGGGAGAGGAGGGTTTGTTTTTCGTTTTGTTTGTTTTAGTTTTAGTTTTTAGGCTTTTTTGGTTTTGCTTGTTTTTTAAACTGATAGATTACCTAAACATAAATGCCTGCTTAGTCCAGTAGTAATTCCAGGAAGATGCACTGTGAATTTCCAAATCAAGTGGGTTAGTGAGTGAACACACAGAGGTAAAAAGCAAAGGGTACTACATCATAAACATGCACTTTGTTGATTGAACAAAGTGAAGTTATATAGCATCCATGCTCCATTTATGAGGCAGCTTTTATTTTACTGTCTTATAGTGTGCATGTTATGTCCAAAGGAGGGTTGGCTGGTTAGCTGAGTTGCTTAGAGAATGGTGTTGAGAACATCGAGGTCAAGGGTTTGGATCCCCATACCAGACAGCTGCTGAAGAAGATGTCTTTAAATATATGACTTAACTGATATTCGATTAAATTCAACTTTTTAAATCTTAGAGAACAGAAAAAAGACCACGGAGGACTTTTTTTTTTTCTTTCAGTCATGTTTAATCTGTGAATTTAAAGGCTCACAATTCACCTACTTTTAAACTCCCATCTGTAGGCCATTTTCAAATTAAATTTAGCTAATAGGTTGAATTTTAAGGAGGGAAATGTATTCAAGACCTGTGGAAAAATGAGCTGACTAAACTGCAGAGAAAACACTTCCCACATTCACCATCCTGTTTTCCCAAGGCAATCTTTCTTTTTTATTTTCAACTAAGAATATAAATTTTATTATATTGTACATACCCTTTCAATAACATGAACAAAATATTCTGTTGGGTGCAGATGTATTCAACAGTAGGAGTTCTTGTACCAATTTGTCTTCTGAGAATATTGTTGAATATTTGAGCCACGTCTTTTTTGCCCTATTAAGAATACAATCATTAAAATATTTATCTGACTAAACATTAAAATGTCCATCCGCCCTCCCAAATAAACTCAAAGCCATTGTATATTTATAGTTATGACTTAACATCTGACTTTAAGACATTCACAGACATTACATTTTCTTATTTTATCTCTTCATCTATAATTCCAAGTTCTAAGTTTTAATACTGTACTATTTTTCACATGAACAATATGCTGACAAAGTGAAATCTCACTACATTCCACATACAAGTTCAACCATTTCTAACTCAGAATCGTGCTGATTCATTTGAAAAGCAAAACCTTGCCATATGCTTATAATCTACAGGGATCTGAAATCCCACCCAAATGAAACAAGCAGCTTCAAACAGGGTGCTTGTGTTTGAACAATACATACACTCTCCTTGTACAGAGACGAGAAGAGAACTGTACTCTGCCAATATAATAAAAATGAAAGAATTCTGTAAGAAGCTGAGCTTTCATGGCAAGTAGACATATCCCCCTTTTAAACTAGGTCTACTAAGGAAAGACTTTATATAGATGAATAATTAAGGTACTAAGTATCACATAATGCAGTAGTTCAGAGGTCAGAACTTTATCACACCACGTTACAAAATAGATGGACAATATCACCATGCAGTGAACCTTACAATCAGAAAGCTGCACAAGAAATTAACAAATGATGTTTCAGCATGGCCACTTGTGACAAGGCTGACAAGCCCCTAGGAGGCTAAGTGAAACACTAGCTTTCCAGCACACCACCTAAAGCACACACAGAGTGATCATCCTGGGGCCCACACAAGCTCAGGAGCAGTAATGGCAATCCCTAAGAACCAGTCTCAAGAGCACACACTTCTTTTAAACTGATGTCTCTGAAGTCCCAAATGAGTATTATTAAATTCAGTTGGGGAGTGAGTGAGAAGGCTGGGAGCAGACAAAGGAGAAGGAACTAGATGTTCTAGTGCATCCCCAACTTTGCAGAGGAAATAAAAATTGTTGCTGGAATTTGATACACTATTAAAAATACATGAACTCAGCTATATATAAATGGAAATACTCTAGTTCTATCTGCTCTACAGTAGGACAAAAGTAAATTTATTTTCTTTTATCAATATTATATTTGAATAACCTATGAATCACACCCTCTCATTCGTCTCCAAAATTTAATCTGGCTATCCATCTGTCATTTTCTCCCTTGGAACACCTGCACAGACATCCAAATGCTCAGGCTGGTAAACACTGGGGGCTTAAAACGAAGCACATTCATGTCAAAGAGTCAAAGAAGAGACTGCCCATGACCATGCCAGAGTGCTTCCTTACCATACATGCTACTCAGACTAGTTTATTCAGACTGCTATCAAGGACCATTACTCTTACTGTTAAATTCACTAAATATTTAACATGACATAATCCAGCTCTATGAGCTTGGGCAACAACCTGAAATGTCTACCAGGGCTGAGCAGGAGATGCAAATGGGTAAAGCAGGCCCTGAGACAGAAAGCAGGCTGTGCTGTTTATAGCAAACCCAAGTGTGGAAGCCCTGTGTTGCTGCTCTACTCCAGCTCAGGGGCCAAGTAAGACTGCAAGCCTCATGTTGCTAGAATCAAAGTTTTCGAGAGAAGCCAGAAATTCAGAATTATGTATAAAATCTCCTGCTATTCAAACGTTATACTAATTAAAAAATTTAAAAGCAGCAAACAAAACATATGATCTCTGCTGTAATGAATTCTCAACAGATTAAAAAAGAGACATAGTTAGACCTACCTCTAAAAGTCCAACATTCTACGGTCTTCTTTAGAATGTTTATTCCTTGAGAGCCAAGGATCAGTGAATTACATAATCCTTACAGTGCTAAAAAGCAGCTGTTTATTAAATACAGCCTAAAAGAACGGGCTTAATGGATACCTAAGAAACTCCATAGACAGTGCGGTGAAAGAGAGAAAAAACCTGGCCTAAGCCTGAGACACCTGTGGGTTCCTGCCCTGGCTAGACTAATGAGGTAGGCAGCGTGGGCATGCTTACAGAGGTCAGTAACTCCTGAGCCAAGAGCCCAACAGGAATCTTAAGATGTTCTAAAGGAGAGAACATATGGAAAAGGATTATGAATAGAGTACTGTTTTTGAAAAATGAGACCTGGATTTCTTACCTCAAAGTCAATGAGCTGTAAGTCAGCTACCAGAGTGCCAAGGAGCCCACTATTATATAGTTCTTGAGCAAGCTGAGCCACTGCTTCTGTCTGTGGCTCCTTCTCATTTGTGCCATACAGAATTTCTTTCATGGCAACCAAATTTTTGGATACTTCTTCTGTAGCCTGATTTTGGGGGCAGGGGTTGGGGAAGAGGAGAAAAACAATTCATTTTAACAAACATATAACACACCCACATTTGTTAAATAGCTTCTCTCTATATTATATACCCACAAACCTATGTACAGGAACAAAGGTGGGCAAGCTCCATCCCTGCCTTCAAGTGCTGAACACTGTGCATGTGTGCACATGGGGACCAACATGCACACTCCACAGGAAGGCCAGCATGTACACAACACACGCACTTGAGCACCAAAAACCATGTTTACATATGACAGAAACAGAACAGAGGGAAAAGTGGGAAGGAAACATCACAGAAGAGGCACCTGAGCCGACCCTGAGAATGAAGACTCTGACAAGCAAGTATCAACGGGAAAGGAACAGCATGAGCTAGGAATGAGGCAGAAGGGGAAGTACAGGGTCTGCCAGAGAAAAGGTGTGGAGGAAATAATGGAGGGATAACAGAAAATGAAGCTGAAAAAAGCTTTCGAGTACAAAGCTAAGGAGTCAGCAATAAAGAAAAAGTCACTAAAGAGCTTCCACTTCTGGCCAAGCTGGGAGAATAAAGACCAGATTTACTTTTCCCCATGACAAAGACTAACAAATAGGATAAGATATGTGAAACAATGACTTATAAACACTGGACTTCGGGGCCGGCCCAGTGGCGCACTGGATAAGTGCGTCGCTTGGGAAGCGCGGCAGCGCTCCCACCCGAGGGTTTGGATCCCACATGCAGACCGGTTCCGCTCACTGGCTGAGCGAGGCGCGGGTGCAATGCCGAGGGTTGCAATCCCATTGCCGGTCCCCGGTCCAGTACGGGGGCAACACTGAGGGTTGCGATCCGTTGCCGGACACGGAAAAAGACAAAAGACAAAAAAAAACAAAACAAAACACTGGACTTCGGGCAGCACTGAACAGTCATCCCTGAGAGAAGAGAAACAAGTGCTCTAGCTTATTGCCAACCACAGCACAGGGAGGGGAGCCAGGCAGAATGGCCTCTATGCACTGAGGAGCAGAGCTGGGAATCTAGTGAGGACAAAGAGACTAGAGTTTGCAGGGCAGAGTACCAGAGAGGAGAGAGCTGCACAGAAAGAATGTGTCAGAGATCTGCAGAGCCCCACTCCCATCTTCAGCTGAGTACTGACAAGCCCATGTGTGTGAGGAAAGTAGCCAAGGCCAGGGAACAGACCATGGAGCTCACACAGCGCTGGAAATAGCTTTTGTTCCCATTAGCCTAAAAGGAAAACCTCATATTCACAGGGCATCAGCAGAGTTTAGTCTAGAGCTAAACTCTGCTCTGGTCCTGCCCAACAAAGCTTAACAGTAAGCCCGGGAAGGATCAAAACTGGAAAATATAACCAATAATGAGGAGAAAAACCAAACAACAGAAACAGAAATGATACAGATGGTAGAATTAATAAGTAAGGACATTAATTACTATAACTATATTCAATATGTCTAAGACAAATTGAGCATGTTAAGCAGAGGACTGAAAGACATAAAAAAAGACCCAAATCAAACACTTAGAAATAAAAATTACAACCCGAGACACAAATTATACTGGATGGGATTAATAGCAGACTGGAAACTGCAGAGGAAAAAGGTTAATAAACATGAAGACAGAGCAATAAAAACTATCCAAAAATGAAACATAAAGGGCGGGAAGGGGGGCAATCATATCAGTGAGCTACCGGATGACTTTAAGCAATCTAATATATGTGTAACTGCAGTCTTCAAAGGAAGGGGAAGAGCAGACAAAATATTTGAAGACATACTGACTGAAAACTTTCCAAATTTGATAAAAACTATCATCCCATAAAGCCAAAAACTTGAAAAAGCCTAAGCACAAAAACTAGGAAGGACACTCTACCAAAGCATGGAATAATCAAATTGTTTAAATTTCAGTGATAAAGAGAAAATCTTAAAAGCAGCCAGAGAGAAAAAACATTACAAAGAATCAAAGAATGACAGCAGACTTCTTGACAGAAATGACACAAGTCAAAAGATAGTGGAGGAACATTATTAAAATACTGAGAAAAAAACCCCAACACACAACCAAACTGTTGTCCTAGAATTTTATACACAGATATAAAATATCTTTCAAAAACAAAGGTGAAATAAAGAATCTTTGACACAGAAAAGGTGAAAGATTTCATTACCAGCAGACTTCTACTACATGAAATGTTTAGGAATTCCTATTGGCAGATGGAAAATGATTCAAGTTGGGCCGGCCCCGTGGTGCACTCGGGAGAGTGCGGTGCTGGCAGCGTGGCGATGCTCCCGCTGCGGGATTGGATCCTATATAGGACTGGCCGGTGCGCTCACTGGCTGAGCGCAGTGCAGGCGACCCCACACCAAGGGTTGTGATCCCCTTACCGGTCACGAAAAACACACACACACACAATGGTGCAGGCGACCCCACACCAAGGGTTGTGATCCCCTTACCGGTCACGAAACACACACACACACACACACACACACACAAAAAAAGAAAGAAAATGATTCAAGTTGAAAATCTGTATATACACAAAGGAGTGAAAAGCACTGTACATAATAATGTGAGTAAATATAAAAGATTTTTCCCTGTTATTTTAAAAAATGTCTTTAAAAAAAGAATTGGCTGTTTAAAGCAAAAATGACAACGTATCCTGAGGTTCTGACGTATGTAGAACAAAATGTATAGCAATAATACCTCAAAGGTGGGTAATGGAAGTACAGTGTTTAAGGTTCTTATACTGTAGTATAATATTTCCTGAAGACAGACTGTAATAAGTTAAAGGTGCATACTATAAATCCTAAAGCAACCACAAAACAAAACCAAAAAATCTCCCCACACAACGAAAAGTTATAATTAATAGATCAACAAAGGAGACTTACGTGGAATATTAAAGATACGTCAAAAACAAAGATAAACTGAAGCATTTGTGACCAGAAGCACACTTCCGGGAAATTCACAGCACATCAGCATTTAGTGGTACTTAAAGGATTATCTAGTCCCATGGTACTCCCTTCACAACCTTCTAACCTTCTTACCAAATGATCACATTGCTTCATCTTAAATATTCCCAGTGTCCAGTAATGCAGTATGAGATTTCAGAATCAGAGATTTGTTAGATAATTTTATAATGAGACAAACATTGCCTCACTACACTGTCTGCTGGCCCTGGGTTTGAACTGCAGAACAGACAGTATTCTAACTTTTCTTCCACCTGAAGGGTTCTATATGAAGGCAGCTTGCCTGCCTTCCTTATATTATCTTCTCCAGAAAACCTCTACTCAGCTTATTTAATTACCCTCCTTAAAAAAAAAAAAAGGTAGAGCTAATGTTCCAACCCTATCCAGAATGGAATGATGCGGAAGACACCAGACCCCTACTTCCCTGTTGCAAATGTTAATGCAGCCCAAGGCTACCTTTAAGATACAAGGCTACCTTAAAGGCTACCTTTAAGAGAGTGTTGAGAGTGAACTAAACATCTTTGGCTTTCACAAGCACTGCTTGTTAAAGCCAGATCTTTTCAAATGTTTTTCTTAAACGGGTAAATGACACTGCAGTGAAGGCTTTAACTCTTCTCACTATTTAATCTCATAATCAGCCCATCATTCAAAATTGTGAAAGTATTTCTGGATTCTGAAGGATATTCAATATACCAGCTATCGTGCTTACATATGGATATCATTATGTCCAGTGCTTTCCATTCCTTTATGTATATACAGATTTTCAACTTGAATCATTTTCCATCTGCCAGTAGGAATTCCTAAACATTTCACGTAGCAGAAGTCTGCTGGAAATGAAATCTTTCACCTTTTCTGGGTCAAAGATTCTTTATTTCACCTTTGTTTTTGAAAGATATTTTATATCTGGGTATAAAATTCTAGGACAACAGTTTGGTTGTGTGTTGGGTTTTTTCCCTCAGTATTTTAATAATGTTCCTCCACTATCTGAAGATCTCATAGGTGTGCCTCTCATGGCCTGCCTCAATCAATGAACCAAATGCTGAAAAGGAAAGAACCATGAGTGGCTCATCATCGTGTCTTTGAATCATCATCCTCTTCTAGTAATAATCTAATAATAACCTTTGGGTATGGCTGCTCAACCACTTGTATATGTGCCTATACTCAAATCATATTCAAAAGGTTTTATGTTAAATACCTTGATTTCCTGACTATAAGAAAATGAAATGAAGTTAATTTGGTATGATCTTTTTACTAAGCCTATGCTGATTTCTACTATGACTTTCTTTTCTAAATGCTTATAAAACATCTTCCTAATAATCCCATCATAAAACCTTACTCAGTGTCAGTGTTAAGCAGAACTTTTACCTTTTCCAGTTTGCTACTACTACCCTATTCTCTGTAATTCCTCAAGATTTCCGACAGCAGTTCATCATCCCCTATGCAAATTTTAAGTATTCAAGAATATAATTTTTCTAGGCAAGGAAAAAAATCATTCAGCAACAGTAAGTATTCTCTTATAATCTATTTACATGTGTTGCTTTTTCAGTTCTATGTTATTAATCTTTACTCTTCAGATAATTCTCTTTGTCAGGGAAGAATCTGACACCTAATAGCTTTTTGAGTGTATTGTCTGTTGATTGTACACCAGTGAGCATAAGTATCAGGCCTCAGCCTCCATTGCTTCTCTGGTTAGATCAAGTTTTAAAGCTCTTAGCAACTCTTCATACACATCAGTTTATACTCTTCTTTGAAATCATTGTATGATTTTAAACTTGAATTCAGACTGTAGTGGATTGAACTATGTCCCCCCCAAAACTCCCTGAAGCTTGAATTGTGTCCTCCAAGTTTTATGTATTAGAAACTTAACTTGTGTCTCCCAAGTTTTCTGTATTAGAAACTGTAACTGTTAAGAGAGTGGGAAATCCTATTATGGTAATTGAAAGGTGGAGCCTTGAAGAGGTGATTGGATTGTAGGACCATGCAGTAGTGAATGGATTAAAAATGTCGCAGGCGTGGTTCTGAGGGCATTAAAAGAAGAGAGTCTGCCTTTT